AGAAAAAAATTTTGTTAGAACACAAAAGTTTATCTGGAATTTCCTCCATTGGAATTTTTACATGAGAATTATCTGAATTAGATGCCATTTCTAATTATTCTTCTGATGTTGTTATAAATGAGCTTGTGCAGATTAGCTTTGGGTGTTGCATAAGTTATGTTTTATTAAGGAATTCAGGTTAATGATTTAGAAATTGAAGAAAGTATAATCATTAGAACGATTCGTGTATTCAATCTCTTCTACTACAAGGATACTTCTATCTATCTATCTATCAACTAACTATCCTCCCACTTTATTAATATAATATTCGCATTTGATACACGATTAGTAATAATACGTTATTACAAAGAAATGTAGTGATAATCTATAATAAAATGTAATCATGATGTATTCCTACCACATGATTCTGATACGTACAACGATTAGGTATTAACAAAAATTCCCATGACACGTAACAATGTTTCACAGCTACCTTATTGCATTTCTCTATTTAAAGGCTATGAAGCATAATAATGACGGATTTTAACATCTTTCCTAAGCATTTTTTTATTCTAATTCCGTAACACAAAACTTATGGCATCAAAAATATTTACGGGTGACATGCCCGAATTAATGACAATTATTCTCAATAATTTAGGTTATGATTTTGATTCCTTATATTCGTGCGCACTTGTGAACCGATATTGGTCTAAAATGGCAGTTCCTATTCTTTGGCAAGATCCATTTTCAATCAATCGAGACCCATTTTCACCCAGATCAAGCCCATTATTCATTTCTCAATACTTTTCATCTCTTGATGATGACGAAAAATTTGGGTTAAAAGAATATGAAATAAATACAGAGTTTTCTAAAACACTATTTGATTATGCAAGATTTCTAAAATTTCTTGATCTACTTGATTTAGAATGTGAGGTTATAAGATGGTATAACCTCGTACTAGGTTACGACACACAGAGTTCTTCGGATCTAGAAAATGAGGATTACGACTCACTGAATTCTTCGGATCTAGAATATGAGGATTACGACTCACCGAATTCTTCGGATCTAGAGTATGAGGATTACGACTCACAGAAGTTGGAATTAGATTATGATTCACAGAATTCAGATCTAGATTATGATTCACAGAATTCGGAAATAGATTACGACTACGCACCAATAAATCATATAATTAATTTATTGCTTAAATTATTTATCGAAAGTGGCGCCATTTTACATAAATTAGATTTACACTTTACATCCTTTATTAAAATTAAATCTGAGATATTTTACTCATTAAGAGAAAATAACCAATTTTTATCACGACTTCGAGACTTACATTTGAGAAAATTACCAAATCGAAGCATCATTAAATTTGTTATTTCATTATTAAAAATCTTGGCAAAAAATGCAATGAAAATAAGTACTTTGGAAATTGACGGACTTTGTAATGAGTATAAGCCACAATTATTTCATACTCTTATACATGTTATTAAATCACAAGAGCAACTTAGGAAATTCAAATTATCAGGTTTCCAATTTCATAAAAAATTCTACGGCACGATTTCAGCTTTAGAGTTTCAAAAAAACACATTACAAGAAGTCATAATAGAACGTTGTCGTTGTAGTACTGGATTCAAGGTATTGAAGCAATGTAAAAATTTAGAAATTCTTCGTATCAAATATTGCAGAAATGAAGAATTGATGAAAAAATTAAATTATAAGGTCAGCACTTTAGAGATAGATAATTGCTCGATTGATGTAGCGAGTATAGTACAAATTTTAGAAGGGTCTGGCATATTACTACAACGCTTATTACTAAGAAGATTAAAATTTAAATCAGCAGATGATGAAATTCAGGAAATAGCTTTAATAGGAACAATTAAGTCTTTCTGTCCAAACATTACATATTTAAGTCTTTCGAATATCAGGTTTTCCACACAACTCATAGAACTTATTGGTGATTTACAAAAACTTCAATTTCTCACGTTACGGCAAATTGTTAACGTACCGAAAAAAGATCAAGTTAAGCAGTTTGCAGAAATATTACCATTAACATTGCAATATCTTAACTTAGATAATAAGACTTGGCCAGAATTATATATAGATATTTTGTTCGATAATTGCAATGCACCTTTAAAGAGTCTGTTAGTTAATCATCTTAATATGTTGAATACTAAAGCGTTAATTGAATTCTGCATACGAAACAAACCTTTGAATTACTTGAATGTATGGAGTTTGAATAATGATTTTAAAGATGTTGATGAAGCAGTTAAAGCATACATTAAATTTGTAACATGTGACGATATTGTTGTTGAATGCTAATTTTTTGTAATTCATTTGTATGTAGTCCAACAATATTTTGCTATTTCTACATATTATTGCAAATGTAGTTAAGCCAGTCAAACTATAAAAATCTCAAACCTTAGGATTTTATCTGTTAGATAAAATATTAGTATAAGTAGAGATGCAAATTTAGATGCTAAAGTAATTTACAAAACATTGTAGATTTATAATTATAAAGATCGCATACAATAATTAAATGTAGAATTACGTATAAAGCAATAATTAATTAAAACCTAATTTTAGAAAATTATAAAAGCAAAAACCATTTAAGTGTAATAATTGCCATGGATTATTATGCTCGTTCTTCAGAATAATTTAATTTGATGTTGTATTATAGCGACTAGTTAGTTATAATGGTATCGATTATATAAATTGACTTTATTTAGGGATAGTTAAAAAAACATGATTATTTGATTTAAAAATGGTTTTAAATGATTTAATACATTCTGACGTAATTATAATACGTAGCAATGAATAGAATAGTATTTATTTATTTAACTAATTTCATCAAAATACACTTTTATCGTTATCTCTTTTTGAAATATAAAATTATAAACAATCATACTCCGTAGGAGACCTCCATTAAAAGAAATTCACTCGAACTTTACAAAAGTTACGGAAACTGACAAACTTGGTCGAACTACACTTCGCCAAAAGTGTAACTACTGTGGAGAGGATTTACTCGCTCGATTAAAGGATCATTTTTTAAGTTTTGAAACGGTTTTTGTTACTTCCTCCATAGGAGTAAGATCAAGTTGCAGAAGTTTTATAAAATCAGCAGAGAGAAAGGGTTTTTTATAGGTTGTCAACTTATTATCTTGGATATCTTTTGCAAAATTTCGAAGTTTTATTGTATCAGCTTCATAAAAACTTTTAATTAAATAAATTAAAAAAGCATAAAATAAAAAAATTGCAATATTTTTTTATAAATCAAATATCTTACATAGCGTACGGAAATCAATTTTCTTTCCTCCGTTGATGAGGTAACATATAGAATAACTCAATTTCAATCAAAATCTAGGGGTTTTAAGAAATGAAATAAGACATTAAACACCATATAATTATTAATAATAAAAAAAAAAATCCTACCTCAGCTTTTAGAATTAGAAATGATTCATTTGTACTAGCTTCACTAATTGCATTGCTAAGCAATCCAATAAATAAATTCATTAAATAAATTGAAAATAAAAAAGAAAATATAACCATTAAAATAACTAAAGTAGGGTTATCACTTAAATTCCAATCCGATACTGTGTTGTGTCTCCTATTAAATTTAGAAGTTGTACCATGTATATAATGCAAATTAGTGATTATAAGAAAATTTTTCAACTAAGTATTACCTGTAAGCATAATATAAACAACTAAAATTGCTTTTCCTATAGTAGTAAACGATGGATATTCGATAGAACTATTAGAATTAATTGTCGTAGTTAAATTCCACCGAGTAAAAGATATAAAGAATGTGCAAATGCAAATATAATAATTCCCAATATAATTAAGAATGAAAATACTCTCCGTTCCACCCCAAGTATGATAGAAAAGTAGGCATCAGAAATTTCTATAGCACGAAAAAATGAAAGAAATTTGATTTCTAGCAATAAGGTGGAGATTACAACCATTGATGTTGGCATAGCGCCATTTTGAAGCCATGTAGTAATTGTCAATAAAAATGTGCACAAATCTTTGTCACAAGTTAAAAAATTTATCTAGAATAAGTAATAAGTCAAAATAAATAAATAAAAACATATTAAGGTTTTAATTACCAAAAAAATTCCATATACTCAATATGTATAATTTTGGAAAATAAATGAATTGACGTAGCTCGATAAATAAATGCCAAACTCCAAGACAAATAGTAATTTTCAAAAGATTATATGTATTATCCTGGGAAATGTCTTTGAATAATGTTGCGGCTATGATAAAACTACAAAGAAAAATGCCCATATTACGTCCTTCCATAAGTATTCCATTTAAACTTGAGTAGTGCTTTCCCCATTTAAATATTTATAAAATTCATTATTTATCATCGTAATATTAAATAATTCCACAAACAAACTGGGTTTAGGCCACAATAATTCATTCCAAATATTATAATCTTTTGGATAAGTAACAATATTTGGTATAGGAATCATAAGGTTTACTGTAAAATTACTTGTATAAAAGTAACTCGTTAACGGATTTATAACCAAATTATTCCAATGTTTAGAAATATTAGAGATACGAAATTCAAGAGAAGATGTTCTAGATAAGCAAATTATAGTTATTGTATGGGTATGTGGTAAATAACCCAGTTACACACGGGTTCATATTCCGTGCCGAAGGCACGGATTTAAATATGAACCCGTGTGTGTAACTGGGTTATTCAACATACCAATACAATAACTATCTTATTGCACGGTGTCTGACGTAACAATCCCGTGCCAATAAGTAAATGTAAAAAGCACGGGTTGTCACATAAGACCCGTGCAATAATAGTGTCTTCCATAGCTAGATAAATGTGAAGATAATGTTAATTGTAGGTTATCAGAAGGAACTACAAATGCTACTTGAGATAAAAAAAAACTAGCTATATATGTAGGTGATTTTTCTGATATTTCAGCAAAGTTCTCAGAAATAATGTTTAATGAGGAGATTTGGGAGATACTATAAGAATAATTTGTGAATGAAATTTTTAAACAATGGCTACCCAAATCACGAATCCCAAAATCATAATTCAATTTAATGAATGTTTTCATGAGGTCATTTCCATAGCAAGTTAGATAAAATTCATCATCAATATTATCTCCCAAAAACTTTCTGAAAAGTTTCTTACTACCAAAATTCATATCTAAATTTCTGCATACTATTTCATAGCTAGAAGCAGGCAAAATTCTTTCCGAGACCTTATCATTAAAGAACCTTGGCGCTAAACTGCTTGGATTATTTTTTGCAAGAGGATCCCAAAAATACAGGGTCGAAATACATCGGGGATTATCGACCATGAAAATCCTTTTAAAATTTAGAGGTTAATTTAAGCCAATATTTCTCGATGAATACTTAACTAATTTCAGTGATTTTTTTATTTTAATTCTATAAGTTAATGGAATTAAAATAAAAGAACATTTATCGAACTTAGTTAGATAGTCGTTGAGAAAACTTCGCTTAAAGTTTGAAAAAATCCGAAAAAAATTAAAAAGCCGTAGTAAAATTGCTTTTTTTCAACTTTAACCGAAGATTTTTCAACAATTGTCAAACCAAATTTGATGATTTTTTTTTTATTTTAATTCTACGAGTTTGTAGGATTCAGATAAAAAAAATCATCAAACTTTTCTATGTAGTTTCTGAGAAATATTTACTTATTGCTTAATAAAAAATTTGCCGCAGCTTCTTTTTTATTGGTATTAAAACTTTAAGCAAAGTTTACTTGATGAATATCAAACCAAATTCGATGAAAGTTTTTTTTTATTTTAATTGTATGGGATAACAAATTAAAATAAAAAAAAAATAGATTTAGTCAGATATCCATCGCTTAAAATTTTAGTATCCATAAAAAAAAAAAGCTGCGGCAAATTTTTTTTTAAACATTAAATAAATATTTCTCAGTAACTACACAAACAAATTTGATAATTTTTTTTTATTTAGATTCTACAACACATATAATTAAAATATCATAAAAAATTTTTTTCATCAACTTTGATCATGTATTCATCGAGAAATTTCAGTTTAAAGCTTAAAAAAAAAACTTTAAATTTAAGAAAAAGAATAAATTTCTTTTTAACTTTAAACTAATATTTCTCGGTGAAAACGTGAGTAATTTCGATAAAATTTTTTATTTTAATTCTGCGTGTTTGTAGAATCAAATAAAAAAATTATAGAATTTGGTTATGTAGTCACTGAGAAATATTTATTTAAATTTTTAAAATTCCGCTACAGGCATCAATACTTTAAGCGAAGTTTGCTCGATGTTTATCTAACCAAATTCTATGAATTATTTTTTTACCTTAATTTTTTTGTAATCCTATATAATTAAAATAAAAAAATTTCATCGAATTGGTTTGAAATTCATCAAGAAAACTTTGTTTAATATTGTAGTGCCTATAAAAAGGAAGCAGTGGCAAATTTTTTTTAACAATAAAAAAATATTTCTCAGCAACTACATAATCAAGTTTGATACTTTTTTTTATTTTCATTCTACAAACACGTAGAATTAATATAAAAAAAGATTTTATCAATTTAATTAGATAATCGTTGAGAAATCTTCGCTAAAGGAAATTTTACTACGGTTTTTTGATTTTTTTCGAAGATTTTTAACCTTTTTTAAATTTAAGAGAAGGTTTCTCAACAACTAACAATCTAAATTCGATAAGTTTTATTTTATTTTAATTCTACTAACTTGTAGTATTAAAATAAAAAAAAAATTTACTAAAATTAGTTAAGTATTCATTGAGAAATATTGGCTTAAATTTTTAAAAAACCTCTAAAATTTAAAAGGATTTTCATGGCCGGCTTATTCCCGACCCGAGATTTTGGGGATCCCCTGTATGAGTTCTATGAAACACTCCAAACAGATGATAAATTAATTTTTTATCGGTTATCGTTATAGCAGGTTTTTTACAGGATCAGTTTTGGGATTTTGTGACAATGCCGCACGGATACCTTATTTGAGAAATCATCTTCCGATTGGTGTACGTATTTCCTTAAATGCTATGGTATACAATGAGCGGATTTAACATCTTTCTTTCCTAAGCATTTTCTAAGCTTATGCCGTTAAAAATATTTGCGGCGACATGCCCGAATTAATGCAAACCATTTTCAATAATTTAAATCATGAGTTTGGTTCATTATATTCGTGCGTACTTGTGAACCGATTTTGGTGCAAAATGGCAATTCCAATTCTTTGGCAAGATCCATTTTCAATCATTAAAAACAAACAAGGCCTATTTTCATCCAGATCAAGCCCATTATTCATTACTCAATACTTTTCAAATGTAGAATATGTTGAACAACTCGGTTTAAAAGAATATGAAATAAATTTGGAATTTTCTGAAACAATATTTGAGTATGCAAGTTTCTTAAAGGTTCTTGATCTAAATAATTTTGAATGTGAGGTTACAAGATGGTATAACCTCGAGCGAGATTGCGACACACTGAATTCGGAACTGGATTATGATGGTTACTCAGAGTATGAATTAGAAGATGAACTAGAAGACGACTTACAGGATTCGGAACTAGATTATGATTATTACTCAGAGTATGAACTAGGTTACGATTCGCAGAATTCAGAACTAGATTACAATTCCCAGAATTCAGAACTAGATTTCGGTTGATACTACTACTATAGTACAAAGTTTAGCAGAGTCCGGCATATTGCTACAACGCTTATTACTAAAAAACTTATCAGTAATTTGGGAAGGCTATTTTCTAGGAGCATTTAAGTCCTTCTGTCCAAACATTACATATCTAAATCTTTCGAATTTTAAAATTTCAACGCACATAGATCTTATTGGTGATTTACAAAAACTTCAATTTCTCACGTTACAAGACATTGTTAATGTGCCGGAAAAAGAACGAGTTAAACAATTTGCAGAAACATTGCCATTAACATTGCAATATCTTAACTTGGATAATAACATTTGGCCAGAATTATATATAGATATTTTGCTCAATTATTGCAATGCACCTTTAAGAAGTCTGATAGTTTGTCGCCTCGATATGGAGAAAAATACTAAAGCACTAATTGAATTCTGCATACGAAATAGAACTTTGAGTTACTTGAATGTGCGGAATTTGAATAAGGATTCTGTAGATGTTGAAACAGTTGAAGCATACGTTAAATTAGTACCATATGAAGATATTGTTGTTAATTGCTAATTTCTATAAATGCTTTTATTTGTGTATTAAGCTATTTTATTCGTATTATTACAGCGAATTTGTTGAATTAAGGAAACTAACCAGAAATAACGTAAAGATGAATTGAATGGTTGCAAGTTGGGTTAGATGTTATGTTGTTACAGATCTCGAGTGCAAAAGTCTTAAGGGTTTTGTTTCGAACTGATTAATAATAAATTTAGCGATTGAATACTTTGATTGGGACGCAATTCTTGAATGTGTGTGTTCCAGGTTGATGGTGCATTAATTAGTCACAGAAATCTCTTTTTATTCAGTACATTCGTAAAAATATATTAACTGTCCTATATTTTGTAAGTTTTATATTTTCCTTTGTGAAATGACCGAACTAAATATAAGGTTTAAAAGTTTAGGTTCGGAGTTCATTATAAAAACGGAATTCTTTGAATTTAATTAATTTTTGCTATCTAATTTATTTCCAGATAAATTTTATTTTCGTTATCTTTTAGGTACCTAAAATCTAATAGATACCTGGAATTCTCAATAATTCGTACTAATTACAACCACAAATTCTGTAATAACAAGAAAGGTAATATAAATAGAATTTTTAGTGTCGATCTTGTCCCTCACACTGTACAAGCAGTATATATGGGTATTATAGTTGGAGGGATACTATGGTCAACATAGGGTGGGGTATAAGTTGTACTATATGAGTGTCGCAGTAATGTTTTATATATTCTAAGTGGATAGTATCCGGGTACTTTACATTCCCAAGTGCAATTAATCTGTCTTTAGGTGTACGATATTATTTTATTTAGCATTTAACTTGATCCTTTTGACATATACTATAATTTAGGGTGCTCTCAAGCATCTAATTTTTAAATAGTGAAAAATAGTTTAGCCGGTCAAATGAGTCCATTATCACAATGAAAAAAATGTTAAGACCTTCATTTTTATCTTAGAGTTGTGCTGGTTGACTTAAATTTAATACTGTATTTGCATTTTTTTACTATGAATCTTCAACAAAATTGCCATGCTCTACAAGTGCTGGTACGTTGTGAAAGGGTAAATCAATCTGGAATCTCAAAATATGAAGCTTAGATTTTTCTATACTAAAACTAATCCAAACAACACACTATACACCAAACTCTGTTGAACCTTAATAGTTATAGTATAAAAGAAGATATAAAAATACTTGGTCCAATTTATTAGAGCTAAATAGAGCTCTATATTATGTTATGAGGGTTAAGAAATTATACTGGGGAATTAGGAAAATGAACTTTAGGAATTATATGCGCAAAATTTTTAACTACTTTATTTAAGGCAAACTTTGACATTCTTGGGCTACTATTGAATCCACTAATTCTATCTATTATATTTAACATATAATATATATAACTGATCAACATATCTGATAGATTCAATATGTTTAACATATTTGATAGATCTGATATATTTGTTTTTTCCCCCATAAATTAATAATTTAGTTTAACCAAATTTACTATTCTAGTATACAACAGAATTAGAAATCTTTATATCAGACATAATACAGTTCTCCATAAATATGACCTTGAGCTCTGACATTGCTTTAAAGAACATTATTATACAAGCAACCGAATTACTTTGTTACATGAACTCAGAACTTGGTATGAAAATCAAGAACAAAGATGCTTTGATTGCCCATTAAATATTATAGATCTGGCATCTTAAAGTGAGTAAAATTTTAAAATTTGTAATTAGTAAAAAATGAGTATTTGGTTGATATGTCATGTGAAAACAGCCAAGAAGTTTACTATAAATAGAATATTATTAGATTAATAATTAACATTGTTTTAAAATTTAAACTTTTCACAACAAATTAAATAAATAATTATATTATTTATAAATTTCTATTTTACTCAAAAATTGAAATATTATGAATAAATATAACTAAAATATCAAATTATTTTAGAATATTTCAAGGCCTTTTAGTTACTTCAAAGAAGTGTTTGAAGAAATCTCAAACCAAGTTAACTACAAAGAACCAAAACTTGAATCTATATGCAGAACCAATTTGAATAAAAGCTTTTACAATAAAGTTAACAACCTTGGAATTGAAATAAGTAGAATTTTTACTTTCTATAAAGATTTAAATAGTTTTGAATATATTTAAAAATTTTAAAATTATTCTAATTAATTTCATATTATATGATTAATTAAAATCTATTTAATTATAAGTGCTTGCAAGATTTATAGCCAAGGTTATTAAGAATTAAGAAAAGTTTCTTAAGAAATTTAAAGATATTAAAGCAAAAGTCAGAAGTATAAAATTAGGTTAAAAGATATCAAGGAAAATTAGAGAATAACTTCTACTTTTCCAATGAAAAACATTTTAAAAAATACTTATTAAGTTTCAATTTATTCTTTTAATATTATAATAATTCATTAAAAGATAATATAATTTTTTAAATAACTTTAATAAATATTATTTATTTAAGAAATATTACTCAAGTATGACTGTAATTTAATGTTTTATATATTTTAAATTGTTTCAAAATATTTTAAAAATTCAAACCATTTTGAATTAATTTAAAATATTTATTTAACTAATTTATAATATTTTTAGTTTTTAGATAAAATTAGAACTTTGAGGAGAATTTTAACTATTTATGTTTTTATTTTTAGTAAGCTTTTAGATACTATAAATAATATGGCTTTATTAAATAAAGTTCATAATTGGAAAGCTTAAGTAAAACAAAAAAATGTTATAAGTTGCTATTTTAAGAAGAAGAAGGTTTAGAAGAAATATATATAATTAGAATATTAAAGAAAAATTTGGCCTAGTGAAGATGTTTAACTAAAAATATTGTTTATGCAATTGCAGTAGCTCAAACTATTCTCAACCCTAGTTATAATAAAATTACAATATTAGATATAGTTATAAAGAAATTAATAGTAAGTATTTATTTATATATTTTAATCATATTTAAAAATTAACTAAATTTGAAATATTTTAAAAATAATAGAAGAAATTAAAATTTAACAGACTATTTTCTAATTCAAGTTTAGAAGTCAAATTACTGTTACTAATGAAAAAGAGTTGCAACAATTTGAACAAGAATAACTAAGTTCTCAAGAAGCTTATATGTTTGAAGCAAACCTACCTGTTGTCTCTACCTCCAAATTTAGACCCTACTTTAATACCAACTAAGAATATAGGAAATGCTTCTTCAATAATTATTTCTTTGCTGACTGCCCAAACAACCAATGTATTAGATGCACTAGATATAGCCACCTTGCTATAGATTGTTTTAAGCAAGCCCCTAAATGATTCACATATAGAACCTATTCTTAGCTAGATCACGTACACATAAAACCAATATTATTGATATAACCAATATAGTCATATTGGAATGAATTGTTTTCAAAATATCTCTATTTTAGAAATTAAAGATACATGTGTGGATATTCTCTAAGTGAAGTTAAAAGTCATCGACAATATTATTATTCATCTTACCAAATAAACTATTGCTGCAAATATAAAGTATTACAAAAGCCAGAAGACCTTAAAATGTTAGAGCAAACTTTAGTTTGTAAAGTTTGTTAAATTGATTTTCATCATAAGCTTGATAAAAGTGATTCTGTAGCATAGAATATTTTACTAATGGTAATGGCAAAGAAACTCTTATTTAATATAAACTCTGTAAAGAAGAATGTATTAGATCCAAAATGTATAAACTTGACACTATTCAAGAAGATTCACAGTTTTATAACCTGGAATACACTTGTATGCTTACAAGTCTGCCAAGGATGTAGAATAGAACTCCAATCTTAACCTATGAACTCAAAGTTGATATTATACCGAGTCTACCAAAAAGTGTCAAACATGTTTATGACCTTAACCAGAGCCATATCTTTCAACTAGCCATGATTCAGATACCGAACACCTTGCCCACACTCTTGAATCTCTTGCTAATGATCACTTCAACCAAGAATATATTATATTAACCTCATAATGATAGCCTCTGAAGTTCAATTAACTGAAACTGTAAAAACAGAATTACAAAGAATCTTAGCTGAATTCTTTAATATCAGCCACACAGATTTTAACTAATGAAAAGCTATGAAAAACTTGCAAAAGAATTTTCAAGAAACTGTAGAATTCTGTAAGAGTTGTCTTATAGCCAAATCCAAAACTAAACTTGTCCAATTTGAAGTCTGCTACCAATAATATTATAATAAAGCTCACTCTCAACAACCAGAACCTAAACTTAAACTTCCTCTACCTCCTTCCTAACCAACAAGAAATAATTAATTTATTACAAGAGCAAGTTTAACAACAAGCCCAAATTATTGCTTATTTACAAAAACAAGTCTAAGCTTCCAAATAGTGAGTCTAGACTATTGCTATACTACAGACCAAAGTGGATAAATTTGAACTATTCCACTATCAAATGAAAAATCTCTATAATAAATCTCTTTTCTTCCAAGACTCTGTTAAAGAAACTCAAAATTTTTAAACTACGTATCTTAAGCAAAATCCAAAACTACTTGAAGATTCAAAAATGATAGAAACAGATGAGTCTATAAAATTTATACCACTGAAATCACACCAAAAATAGAATCTTTAAGCCCAATTCACTAGCTACTCATAAAATTCTCTAACTTATTTGTAAAGGATATGTCTCAACTTGGAAAAACTAACCTATTAATTATTTGCCAAAGATGTACTCCTGTAAGCTCTAGACTCTATATTTTACCTTTTACCAAACAAACTTTTATTAATGAAGAAGTACAACAAATATTGGATAATAAGTTGATATTTTCTAGCCCATGGACCTCTCTTGTTATACTTGTTACCAAAAAAAATAGAAAGAAAATTTTTGTGTTGACTACTATAAACTAAATGCTATCACAAAGAAAGATCAATACTCTTTATCTAGAATTGATAAAATGCTAAATTCTCTAGCTAGAGCTAAATATTTTTCTACTTTAGATCTTATGAGTGAATACTGGCAAGTTAAAGTTCATCTAGATGATAGAGAAAAAACTGCTTTCATTACAAAATATAGTACTTATAAGTTCAATGTGATATTATTTGGATTATGCAATACTCTTGCAACTTTCCAACATTAATAAACCAAGTTTACAAAGACATTGCTTATAAATATATAGTAGTTTATCTAGATAATATTAATATATTCTCACAGACCTTTGAGGATTATATTAAAAATTATATGAAGTATTTACTAGAATTTAAAAAGCTGAATTAAGACTTAAACTTGACAAATATATCTTTTAGATGAAACAATTACCTTTCTTAGAACATATTATAAAAGAAAAAAGAATCTCTCCAAGATTATTGCTATACAAAATATACAACCTCTCAAAATACTACTCAAATTTGATCCTTCTTAGATCTTGCCAGATATTATAGAAGATTTATTAAAAACTTCTCCTGCATTGCTTATCCTCTTAACTAACTACTATATAATGATTGCTCTTATGAATAGAACTCTTAACATAGAAAGCTTTTAATGAATTAAAGCAATGACTTATTACTACCCCTATTCTTATCTATCCAAACTATAAATGAGAATTTATTTTAGCAACCAATGCTTCATATATCAGATTTGGAGCCACCTTAAGCCAAATATCTAATGACCAAAAGAAACACCCTATTGCTTATATTCAAAGAAGGAAGAAGTTAACTATAGAGCCACAGAACTAGAATATGCTGCCATAGTATAGGCCATTGTATACTTTCACAAATACTTTGGTACAAACTACTTCACTTTAATTAAGACCACTCTACACTCAAATAGTTAAAGTCTTCACAACCTAATAGATGCTTAAATCAATGAATAATGAAGCTACAACTCTACTACTTCACCATAATCTATAAACCAAGACGAATTCATTCAAATATTGATGCTCTCTCAAGCAGAGTTGGCAATAGACCATGTTCATTAAGAATGAAGTTGTCAATAGATTATAATGGACCAATACTATAATCCATTGATCTATTGGTCCATTAATTTATACTAGTTTTATTAAAAATATTATTTTATAAAAATTAATTATAATTAAACTATTAAAATATATTAATACTATTTTTGTTCTGTAAATCTTTTAAACATCTAGCAAAAATTAATCTCTAAACAAATATAATAAAAAATATAAACTATAATTTAATACATTTTTTTTATATATTATTTATTAACACTAGTAAAATTAAAAATTTTGAATAATATTCAAAACTATGCTATTCAACAAAGTGAAAGTTTAAATTTTATTTGTATTATTTCTTAACTATATTTCACAGAAAACAGCAAATATTAGTGCTATATAGTACATTTAGATTATCTAAATAAGGGTTCTGATATTTATTACCTAATATTTATTTACTATAGGAGCTTACCCCACTCCTGGTAAGATTTTTATAAAAAATTTTAGCCAATCAAATTTAACTAAGATAAAATTTTTTTTGATTCCACCCTATAAAATATTATCTAATAAATGTTAACGCCCTAAGAAGTAATAAGTAGTTATATAGAGTGCTAGTAAAAACCAAGCAAATTGTTTTTTTAAAATTTAAATCAAAATATTTAACAAATTTTAAACCAAACTTGATAAAATTATTTTTATTTTAATTCTATAACTATAAAGAATTAAAATAAAAAATTTTATTAAATTTGGTGTAATAGTTGTTGAGATATTTTATTTCAAAGTTTTAAAAAAAATTTTACTTAAAAACAATTTGCTTGGTTTTTACTAGCACCTCTATCTATATATTAATTTTATATATATTAAGGTTGGCAGGTAGGGTATTTTTAGATTTTAGGATTTTTGGACAGACAATTTAGAATAGCTCCGAAAATAAAATCTAGTATCCAAAAATAGCAAAGAGTTAAATCACATGATATTGGGCCAATAGAATTGTATCTTTTAACTAGAAAAAATGTATTGATATAAGTAGGGCGAATCCTTATATTATAGGATACTAATCTGGGTCATGATAGTAAATAGTAATAATGAGTTTATTTGACAGATTTGATATATGCAAAATAATATAATAAATAGTGTATAATTATTTTTTATTAAATAAATAAGGCATTTGGTCATGAGGTTATGATTAATCAAATTTCTATTTTTGTTCAAGTAATATGAAATTTTATCTTGTAAAAGCAGAAAGTGAAGCGATACTATTTCTATTTTGTTTAAGTAACAACCAAATAATACTTGTGTAAAAGTAAACAAAGAACATAGATTAGTAAAGAAAAGTTATTAGAGACATAAGTAAAAATTATAGCGAAGTAGTAAATAATAAATAATATTACTTAACTTATATGCTTTTTGTTTTTAATTTATAAAATATTTAATTAATTAAAAAACAGACTTATATAAATTATTACTTTTTTTTTTATAATTATATGTACAAGCCTAACTTTTATAATGTCTAATAAATGAGAACATCCAAAATGTACAATTTCTGAATTTTTTGTTGAAGTTCCGGGAGATATGGAAAGCCAAAGTTTTGGAATTCATCAGATAAAGAAATAGTATGCACTTTCTGTTTAAAAAAAAATAAAAAATTTAGAATGAGGAAAAGAAATTGTAATAGGCAAACCACAATATTATACTCAGAATCTTCTTGCTTGCTTAAATGCTTCTAGTGATTTAAGACAAGAACTTGAAGGTAAAGTAAACAATATTGGTGATGCTTCAGAAATTTCAGTTTTAAGCAAATGCCTTAAATCTAATCATAATGAAGAATGGTTTGAAAATAAGATTTCTAAATATCTTCAAAATCTCCAACAGACAAATGGATTAAAGAATTTCAAAAAAAGCTTTTAAATGCAACTATCTCCAATGGATGGTCATTTCAGTGAATAGAAAATAAGAATTATTAGAACTTCTTTATTTTCTTAATCCAACTTTACAGCTTAAATCTACTGCAATTCCATCTCGTCAAATATTAGGAGAAAACTTCTTAATAATGCTGCAAATAAGCTTCAAACCAAGACTATAAAAACTTTACAAAGCGCAAAAGCTATTACTCTTACCTTCAATGGTTGGAAAAATGTTGCAAAGCAAAATATTCTTGTATTACAGAAGAAGGTGAAGTAATAATATATGATGCAAGAGATATTTCAAGTGAACATAGCTCCATGGAGGCTATGATAAAATTGATAAAGGATTTATTAATGGAAGATGATTTAAAAAATATTAAGATTATTGCAGTTGTCACAGATTTATCAAGTGGATATGCTGCTGCACGTCACAAATTAAGAAAAGAATTATCAACAATAATTTGGCTACCTTGCTTTGCTCATCAGGCAAATCTTTGTATCGTTGATATTTTCAAGTCATCGCAATCTTTTTTTACTACAATTAAGCAAGCTGTAGTAGTTACTACTTACTTTAATAAATCACCTTTTTTTACAACACTTCTTAAAAATACTTGCAATGATTTTAAAATTCCTTATTTTTGCTCTTACTAATCCTACTGAAACTCGGTGGTATTCATATTTTAATTGTATTTGAGCTCTTTTAAAAGTAGAGTATGCATTAAGGGTATTTAAATTAATATTTTATTATTTAAATATTTAAAGTATAATTTTAAATTTTATAATTTATTTTAATAGAGCCTTTCAGTAACTCACGGAACAAGTATCCTAATAAAAAAGCTTTACTTCTTTCTCAACCTGTTACAAGTATTTTAGATGATCGCAAGTTTTTTAATGATCTTCGTATATTGAAAGCAATACTAAAACCTTTTGTAGAAGCAATTGTCTTGCTTGAAAAAAATAATACCTGTCTATATTATGTTCTTATTTGTTTTGAACATTTTAGTCAAATTTTATCTAAAAGTGAAACTGACGATCAAGAAATTCAAGAATTCAAGTCAATAATGATAAAATGTCTTGAAAAATGTTGGAAAGACTAGGAATAGCTACTTCTTTTGTTGGCATATTTCCTGATCTTTGATTAAGCAATTTAAATTTAAAAGCAAGTAATATTTCTTTTGTGAAATTATACAAATATGCTCAAATATATTATGAAATGTGGGCAGAAAATAAGCCACAAACACTTGCTAATAAAATGACACAATATCATGACAAGACATTTTCTTTTGATGATTATCAAGCCAACCAATTTAAGAATACACCACTTCAGTTTTGGAAATATGTCAAAGAAGAAGCACCTGAACTTGCATTTATTAGTAAATAATTATTTTCAATTGTAGTTAATTTAACAAGTGTTGAATGATTGTTTAGTGATATGGGCTTTATTCATTCAAAGTGTCGAGTTCGTTTTAATGAAAAAAAAGTTATGAAAATAGCACAACTTCAGGCTAATCAATATAAAGAAAATATGAAAAAATTAGATTCAAAGTAACTCAATAGCATGCAAATACATGCACAAAAAAAAAGTTTAATTATTAATATGGTTACGAATAATGAAGTATCAGTTAATGTGGAGTCTAGTACAAATCAAATGATCAAAGAAACTGATAGTTCTGATGAAGAAATAGAACCTGATTGTACTCAAGTTGTTTATGAGTAGTTTATGGAGTTAGATGATGAAATATACAAAGCAGAAGACTATAATTTAGATAATACTGAAATTTTACACCCGGCAGAAGACCCTCAAGCAAAATGGAATCTAAATACTCTTTTTCATCAACTTTGTCGAATTTGTCAAGTATTAAACTATAAAAATAATATGCTATAATTTGTTTTATCAATTATTAGAATATGTAACGATTTAATTTGCTAATTATATGTAGTATTATATATTTTGTAGCATATAATAAATGATATTTGTCTATGCTAAAGTAAAAAAGAATTAATAGATATGTATATAGTACTTTTAAAATGTAGTATTACCAAATTTTATTTAAGATGTACATATATATGTATGTATATATTTATGTACATGAACAATTTACAAACGTAACTGCAAATAAGTATTTATAAACTTGATAATTGTTAATACAGTACATATGACAATATCTATATCTTTTGATCAAAATAATCAGATTTTACATAGAACGAGTAAATTTAATTTAGGACAATTTAGGATATTTAGAATAATTTAGAAATTTTAGAATATTTGAAAATAACCATTTTAATTTTAGGATAGTCCTAAAACCGACCTTAATATATATAGTTATTTAATATACTTGGGTCCAGTGATTAGCCAATAGAACCAATGGATCTAGTCAATAGATCTGGAGTTTATTGGTACCTAGTGTTCCTATAAACTGGTTCATGAACTAGTTCAATGTCAAAAATAAAGAAAAAAATAAAAATTACAAAGATAAAAATACTTATATCTCATGATTTACTGGGCCAATTTTAACGTTTTAACCACCATTCTATTCCCAAGACACTCCTCTACAACTTTACTTAAGTATTGAAAAGAGGTTTACTTAGTAAAGAAAATTTTTTCTTTGAAAAACTCCAAAGTTGAAAAGTTTCTTTTATAATAAAATTTTAAATTTTAATTAAACCATTTTTTTACTAAGTAAACCTATTTTCAACTACTAACAAAAGTTGTAGAGGAGTAGTTTGTGATCAGAATGGTGGTTAAAATGTTAAAATCGACCTGGTAGATCACGAAATATAAGTATTTTGGTCTTTGCAGTTATATGTTTTCTTCTTTTTTCTTCTTTATTTATATTATAAATAAACAGATTTTGTATTATTACTAAGAGGTTATTGGATTTGAAAATATAAAATATTAGATTTATATAGTGGTAGTAGGCCTAGTAGATTAATTTTTTATTGGATTTTACAGAATATGAATTTGATAGGAACAAGTGTCTATAAAGTGATTGTTAATAAAATGATATAGACTAAAATTATATAATAACTTCTATATGCAATTTTAAATTTTAGACAATTTGCATTGCATTATGTAATATTATGTAGTATGCAACATTACTCACATAATGCATATGGAACATCTCTAAATAGGACCTCTCTCTATTACTATCTAAGGCAACTGATATATTATTGTTGCAACTAATTACCTTACTTGCTGACCAGAAGCTAAAGCTGTACCAGATGCTGGTGCAGAAACACTTGCTAAATTTATTTTTGAAGAAATTGTGTATTGATATGAAGTATCTAAAATAATTCTTTTGAACAATGCAAAGAGTTTTATTAGTAAAGTTGTTAAAATATTATGTAAAAAGTTTTTGATTAAATATATATTCTTTCTAATCCAGGATGAAGCTCTTAACCTGGTATATACTGCTAGTACAAAGAACATTACTGATAAGCAAATCATTTATGT